AGTCCGTGGGCAGAAAGAGTGTGAGAGGTGAGCACAAGCAGGCACAGGTGGTGTGAGTGGGACAAGGCGGGATGCGTGAGGACGATGGGTGAGCCAGGGGGAGCAGGTCAGGCAGTTTCCCTTAGATACCTGCCCAGCCCCTGGCCCTGGGTCCCTCCCAGCTGCATGCAGTGCTGTATCCCAGGTGTCTGGGGACATGTGACTTGCACCTGGACGGCAGGTGTTACATCTTTGTAGTCTCCTATTCCCCCACCCGCCCCTAACCCAGGTAGGGGCACATGGAAGGCTTGGGTCAATGGGGTGAATCCCTCTCAGCGTTGAAGGCAGGGGGACTCACTCAACTCAGAAGCAGCCTGAACCTCCCTGAGAAGCTTGTGCTCAGCCACAGCGCAGACTCGGCTCTCATTGCCACCCTCCACCCGGATGTCCCTTGACCAGCGCAGGCTCCCACCTTCTGTCCTAGAGCAGCACTGGACCAAGCGATCTCCAATGAAACAATTTGCTAGAGTGCAGAGTGGTTTACAATTAGAAAGTATCTTCCCAAGCATGATTTCACCTCGAGCAACCCAGCTCCATCTTCCTTTCCTCTTCTTTTACCCTTCTTTACATCCTGTTTTTTTTTTATTTTAAGTATCACTCTTGCGAACCTTTGTATGCACTCTTCAGCTCACAACAGGCAAGACCAGGACCTCAGAAGCCCCTTCCAGAAGCTCTCTCCTCCCCGACAAGGTAGCTCCTCTCCTCAGGTATGGACTCGATACGGCTTTTTTCCTTTTCAACGCATATATGTTTCTCTGAAAACATAATGTTTTTTTCAGTTCTGCCCCTTTTTTTCAATGTGCAAATGTGTGGTATTCCTTCTCCTGTGACTTGTTTTTCCACCTGACCCTGAGAATCACCCGCATTAATACACGGACAGAGGTGGACACTTGCTGATTTTCATTGCTGGGCAGACTCCCGTTATAGGTCGGGAATGCTGTTTATTTATCCATTCTCCTGGTGGGCATCTGGGCTGTTCAGTTTTGCTCAGGTCATCTCCGGGGATCCAAGGGCAACAGGGGCGTGCCCAGGGGTGGGGCAGCTGGAGCACAGGTGGGGCCATCTTTAGCTTCACGAGGTAACACTCCATGGATACCAAAGTGGTTGTACTGATCTACACTCCCACCAGTGTGGAAGAGAGGGCCCTGGGTGCCACATCCCAATCTCTGTGCTAGAAACCTGTTTTATCTGTATATTACTATGTCTTCCCTTATCCCTCAGCCCCTTCTCAAAGCAACTAGCCCACATGTCCCACACATGCAACCATCTGCGCTGCTGTGGTCACTGAGTTTTAAATATGTGCATATGCATGAAAATTATATGACGTTGTTTGGGAAGTGCACACGTTTTCACATACGTGAAAAGCATTGTGCCAATGCATGTTGTCAATTTTTTTTTTTTTTTTTTGCTCAACTCAGTATTTTGCCAGGTGTGCCCAGGCTGTTCCATTGTATTAGCAGCACTGCAACACTATCTTTAAGGTGGATGCTACCCTCACTTTATAGAATACCAAAGGACTAGCTCAGGACAATTCAGCACCTAGTGGGGTTCTGCTGTGTTGCATGTAGTACCTCACTGAACATTCACACTGACCCCACAAAGTAGATGCCTACATTTCAGACAAGAGAAAAACCAGGCACAGAGATCGAGGAACCTGCCCAAAGTCAGTTAATGATGAAACAGGATTTGAATGAAGCCTGAAGACCTCAGAGCCCTTGCTCTGATCCACAGCATGAACCTAGCTAGGACGTATGACCCAAAAGGTTTTTGTGACCCGCATCTCCAGATTACAGAGCCGGTGAACCCATGAGTGAAACTCACATTCCCACTATTGCCCTCAGTCCAGTCTTTGTTCAGTCAGTTCCCAAACATACAGCCTCTGCGCAAGTGGCTGGTGAATGGCAAAGAGAACAACTGGAAAACGTGCTGATCAGGAGTCTCTTTAAAGCTATAAATTTGACTAATATGTTAATCCTCTTCATCAAATGTTAGTAAAGGAAAATACCAAGAAGACAGAACTCTTGAGAGGACATGCAATAATGGAAGTTGGAAATTTCTTTATCAGAATGAGAATTAATGACCAAAAGCTTGAATCCTAAGAAAATGAATCCACAAGTCCTTTTCCCTGCTGGGGATGATAGCATGGGTCCAACTTTGGCCGAGATGGGCTCCATCCCTCCGCAGAACAGAAGCATGGCCACATGCACGTAAAATGCTAGGATCATGCTTCTGGAACATGTAAGTATAATTTTTATTATAAGAAAGGACCAGCCAAGGGCCAGTTAAGAAAGCCAAATTAAAATGTGCTGAGTGACTTAGTATTATCACCAATAGAGAATAAGTTAAAGTTTTTTTAAAGTCCTGCTCATTTTCTTCACAAATGAACTGCCCCCACAGTTACACTATTTAAATCAAGAATGGTTTATATTTCACAGTTACTTACCATCCTTTCCCTTTATTATTATTTCTAGCTCCTTAAACATATAAAAGGTTAAAAGCAATTTGTTCTGGCAGAAGAGAACTACAGTAAATCACGCAGAATAAATTTCTTAAATACCAAAGGAACATTGCTTCCCTCCAGATCAGTTCTGGACACGCATGTGAAGCACACATAAAAATCTGTCTCCCTGCCACCTGCCACGTGAAGTCACTGTGTGAAGAATTCACGTCCTTTTCAGGTGAAAAAAAATGTTTGGTAGCAATGTGCCAAAGACAAAATCTTCCAGGACTTACATCAGCACATCTAGTGGAACCGACCATATGCCATTTATAAGAACTCCCCCTCCCAGAAAGAAAAGCTGCACTCAGCCCCAAACCAGAATCTTCTCAACACACAAAATTTTACTGTGTAAATTTCCCAAATCAGGTATTCTAAGGAAAAGGTGGAAGGCCTTCTATTTTTCTAACTTTGTTGTCAAGGACTCAAATTTCATTTATCAAAAAAAAAAAAAAAGAAAGAAAAGAAAAGAAGACCAAGAGTATTTATTCAAATTCTAGCAGGTGGAATTGGATAGATTCACAAAGGACACAAACGTCTCTAATATCATCCTCTCCACCTCGGAGCCAACATCCGCTATTCGTAACTACACCTCCAAATGGCCAGTTCATCTTCCAAACACAGAGAAGCCATTTGAGTTGAAATTTGTTTTTTAAAAAGCTTTCTGGGTTACCATTTCTCATTATCATTCACTTACACTTAACCACCACGAGGATAACAAGATACATCAGAGCTGAAAATACAGCTCCGTCCTGAGATCAAATCGGGACATTGCCACTGAACGCGTTCTCAGAGATCATGTTTCTCAGGTTTACAGAAGACTGTTGGCCCTTGATAAATTAAATTTTAAAGATCTGTAATGATTTCTTGCTGACTTCATCTTTTCCTTCTGATTGGCTAGGAATAAAATGCCAGTCAAAATGAGTTTCGGTTGTTGATCTTCATACCACGAAGTGTAGAAGATAACTTCTTATATCACCTTCTCTGCGAGATTTTATTTACATTCTGTAGCAAAAAGTCTTCCCCACTCTCACCCCTATGAGGTATGGACACACTTGCCAAACATGCTCCAGGGAGAGAAACCTTATCACATCCTCAAGAGATTTTCCACTCAGCATTTTGTAGACAGAACCATCACAACCCCAGCGAGACATCACACAGGAATCCCACTGTAGTGTCCCCGACCAAGACTGCTCCTCCCCATCTCTGAATGAAATCCAGAGCCCTCAACACTCTATGGGTCGCCCGTCTTTCTGACACTTTGGAAACACCCACAGAGCTTAAGGAACGTGCTGAACTCATCACCTCTGAACCCATTTTTGTGTATGAATGTGAATTCCACATAGTACAGAACACTCCCCAATGTACTGCTTTTAAATGCACGTGGGTGCATGTATGCGTGTGAGTGTGTGTGATCTGGGAGGGCATTCTACATTTTAGCCAAAAAAATCATATCATTTTTATAAAATTGTATTTAGCTTTTCAATTATAAGCCATTGTCCATTTTCAATAAACGTTTTAGGTCAAGAATAGAGATTAGTAAAACCAACCAGGTCACTTAGGGAAAATGAATTTATATAGGGAATGTGTATAACTGGTGAATTGGTGAATGTTTTGGGCCCGTGTAGACAGCTGAACTAACTAGCAGTGGTGTAGACAGCCTCTCTGGGTAATGTGGCTCAAACCCCAATGTTTCCTGTAACTTTGATCTGGGTCAAGTTATTGAAAGCACCATTTCACTTCCTTCCTTGACTACACTCACAGGTACTGTAGTGTGGGCGCAAATGGGCCGGCCTCCTCTCGGGGACTTTTGGTGGCTCAAGTCTTACTTCCCAATTGCCACACCTCCAGAGGTCCCAGGAGCTGCCCCGGGACAGCAGCTGGAACGGGTGTGTGGGACAGCTGCTGAGATGCAGGCGTGTCCGGGGAAACCACCTTTGAGCTCAGCAAGCGCTAGCACTTGGCCTCAGCACCTTCCCAGGTAACCCCAGGTAACCCCAAGCAAGCACAAAGTGGGTGGAACTCAGGCAGAAGCTGGAGGAATCTGGATGTGGCTTGCACGTTAGGTCAGGAGTCGGTCAGGAGTCCTGAGTGACAGGCCAGACAGTAGATATCATCAGGTTTGTGGGCCACGGGGTCTTGGTCACACCAGAACACGAAAGCAGCCACAGATGGTGTGGAAATGAGGGAGTATGGCTGTGTGTCCCAACACAACTTTCTTTGTGGACAATGAAATCTAAATTTCATATCAGTTACACGTTTATGAAATATTATTCTTCCAATTTTTTTGACCATGTCATATTGTGAAACCAGTCATCTTAGCTTATGGGGGTACAAAAAAGGTGGCAGGCCAGAGGTAGCTCATGGCGGAGGGTGGCTGCCACCTCCCCCCCGCAGTCACTGATCTGAGGGCAGGCAGCTGAGCAGGAGGCTAGGGCGGTTGCCCCACCACGGGGAGACCTACCTTGATATGAGCTGCTGGGTCTGGGACAGTCTGAACCATGTCCTTCAGCAGATCAGCTCAGTCACCGTCCGCTCAGAACCAGAGACAGCTGGGAGACAAAAGGGGACAATCAACAACCACATTTCTGAGTTTTGTTTTCCCTGAGGACCCCACACAACATGCCAAGGGGAAAAGAACCACAGCTTTGCACAGATCTCGACGTGTTTGCCTGCAAGCACCTTTCAGGCATGCAAATGAAGCTGCTAGAAGACCCGTGTCTTCTGTCGGGAATGTCATTTACTTAGAGCCCCCATCAAACACCGGCCGGACAAACCCGGACAAACCCAAACAAACCCACACCACGGGCAGCTCGTACACATCATTTCCCGTGGGCAGAGTCTGTGAGTGATTGTTTCAAGGAAGAAACGAAACCGAAGAGGAAACCTTTTCTAGGATCTTGAGAGAACTAGGTTCGGAGTCCCACCAAAACTAATGCCATCCCCACATGTTTTAAGCTTCACGATGGAGCTCTTACTATAAACCACCGCTGTTGGTGACGCGCCCAAGTGCCATCCCTGGACCAGGGCTCACAGGCACATCCTCCTTTACTCCTGACCACCACTGGGAGTCAGCACCCCATATCCAGTCAGGGACATGGAGACTGGGGCCTGGTCTGCTCAGGTTCACCTGGTTAATAAGCAACAGAGCCAGGATTCAGGTCCCACTGGCCTGACTCCAAGGCTCCTAAGACATTTCAGTTTGACGTAATGAACAGTTTCACCCTGTATTTTGAAGATACATTAGTTCATTGTATTTTTTTAAGATTTTATTTATTTATTTTGAGAGAGAGAGAGAACACAAGCAGGGGGAGCAGCTGAGGGAGAGGGACAAGCAGGGAGCCCAACACGGGACTCGATCCAGGACCCTGGGATCATGAACTGAGCCGAAGGCAGACGCTCAACCCACTGAGCCACCCAGGCATGCCATGTTAGTTCATTTTAAAAATTATTTTAAATTTAAACGAATTAAATATCCAGGTGTCCATACTCTAGGGATCAATACGTCATCCAATGCATTCCTTTACTTGGATTATAAACCAGCGTTTTGGCTACTTTCTGCCCCTCCTCATTCCCAGGGCCACTCTCCACAGCCTCCTTCCCTGTCCCATACCCCTGGAGCTGACCCCCGTGGGCTACCTTGGCAGGGCTCCCCTGCCCTCTGTCCCCCATCACGTTCAGTCAATGCGACACCATCTGCAGATCAGGGCGCAGGAGGAGAAAGGGATGGAGTATTTCTTCCCCATACTTTTCCACCACCCGCTTCACACTCCCTCCATTTTTGGCCACCCTTCTGGCCTGTGGGGACCTCACCCGTCCTGGGGACCCTCACCCAGAGCTCCCAGCTCCAGGAACCATGCTCTGCCCAGGCTTTGGTTCTCGGTACATCTTAGCCAGACATTGCTTCCTGGCACTGAAAACCTGTCTTTCAATGTATGTTTTTAGGTGTCATCACTATTGGTTCCCAACTGCCATTTTTGTTTGGTTTTATTTTCTTCCTTGTAAAATTGGCCTACGACTCTTAGCAGGAGTGAACTGTGAAATTAAAATCAGCAGTCCTCCAAGATGATACTCAGGAAAGCTCTCAAGTCTACAGCTGACCATGTTATTCCAGGGAATAAATAAAGCAGTCATGGCAACCCGAAGGCATCTGTGTTCTGCCTTTCCAACCCTCTCCAGGCACAAACACATCCACTCCCAGCACAGATGGGCTTCTCCCAGGAAGCCCCCACCTCCAGGTCTGCACGCTTATGGTCTGTCTCCCAAAAGGGCTCCATGGACTTCTCCCCAGATCTGGGGGAGCTTGGCTGGACAAGGAGACAACAAACATGGAAATTTAGGCGATACTCTTTACTTCAGCCAACTTTCATGATCTTAGAATGTATCCAGTGTTTCTATCTAAGCCTAAAGCAAGTCCTTTTTGGGATAGTAGTTGCTAAAGATGCAAAAAGAATAAAGTACAGCCTTGGAATTGAATTGGGCATCCATTGAAGGGGACCCACGGTCTTGGTATACTGGTGAGAACAGAGGCTGGGAGAGAATGGGAGTCTGGCCAAAGGTGCCTTGAAGCTTGCGCCTCTGACCCAGGAACCTCTGACTCCCCCAAGACCATCTCCTCAGGACACCAGAAGTCACCCCAGGAAAACGCTATCTTTCAACAGCCATTCAAACTGACAGAAGCCCATCATCAAGATCCCCACTATAAGACCTCGTGCTCAGAGCAGACAGTTCTTTCTAAATGTTTTGGTGTCCCCCTAGGGCAGCTCATCCCACACAATCCCTCCTTCCCTGCTTCCTTCACATGCTGCTGCTCAAACCAAGAGCTAAAGCTTGTACCCTCCTAGCAAGGCAGCAGCAGGAATGTTCTGGGAGTCCTGAGCCCACGTCTTAAGATCCAGAGGATTCCTCTTTCATCTCTGGGAACCCAGTTTCCATATCTCAAGCAGCATGGAAATGTAACCAAAGTCCAAGGTAGGTGCACAGCTGACACACTGGAAAAACTGGATTTCTAATTTTAAGCTAACTAGTTTTTAGTAAGTAAAAACATTTCAGGCAAAATGGCTCTAAGCAAACCCACGATAACAAATCCATTCACCACACGATCTGGTGGTCATCAGGCACATTTGCTCCTGGTGAGTACAGACCAAGCACAACAACCTTCTACCAACAAAGCCTCAGCCTACCATAAGAAGGTAACAGGTCTAATTCCTACCAAGAGCATGCGCACCCTTCCCCCTAAAGGGAATGGGAGGAGGGGGAAGCAATTGAGACACCCACCCAGGGCCCATGATTTAAGGAAGCACTCTCTCCCAGGCTGACCCTTGTTCTAGCCCTGGTGCCTACATACCAGAAGTAAGCAAGAGAGGCCAGTAGAAAGAGGAAGAGTCAACCAAATGCACCTTCACATTTATCTAGAGAGATGAAAGAGAGCTTCCTCAAAAGGATATGGCTTATCTTTCCAAATAACTACAAATACATTACAAAGGGTTGAAGTGCATCAATCCCCCAACCCTTTGTGGATTGGGGGTCCTAACCCCCAGTAGCTCAGAAAGCATCCTTACAGGGCACAGGGTCTTTAGAGAAGTTATCGAATTACAGTTAAGATCACAGGGTGGACGTTAATCCAATGACTGGAGCTCTTCCTCACTTAAGAGGACAGAAGACACAAAGACACGGGAAGAAGATGGCCATCGGAAGTCAAGGAGAGAGGCCTGGGACAACCTCTCTCTCATGGCCTCAAACCAACTCTGCCCACACCTTGAACTCAGACATCCAGCTTCCAGAACTGTGAATCTCTTTGTGACATCTGAGCCCCCAGTTTGCAGAACTTTGTTATAGCCACCCTGGAAAACTAATACACCTTAATTGAAGGGGTGTGCATAGTATTTCAACTGACAAAGATTAGTGGCCCTGATTTGTAGCATGGGATGGGGGAAAGGTGTGTCTCAGGAGTCACACCCAATTTATTTGCACTCTTTCTTACCAGACACTAACTTTATTCAAGGAATGTCCCAGTATTACTGTCCCATCTACTAATCATTCCTGGCTTCATTTCAGCAAAGGAATATTTTTTTAAGTTCTATGGCCTCAGTGAGTGTGATATAGGCCCCACCATAACCTCTCCCAACCCCTAAAATGCTTTTCTGAGAGAAGCCTGGTAGATCCCAGCAGAGCAGCTGAGGGGCATATTTTTAGATGAAGGACTGAAATATTCCAACTTTTTTTTTTTTTGCAAAATTAATGAATGCAGAGACACATTCCCTGTGTCTGCCTTTTGAGAATAAGCTTCTACTAAATTCAGGTGAAATAACTATAAAACAATGCAAACCGAACTTAGTAATATGACAAGAAAATGTAAATATCATAAAGCATAGGTATCTGCAGACACTGCCCTTGGCCTCCAGTCCTTCTGGAAAAAGCAGACAAGAGCAGGAGACAGCAGAGAAAGAGGGGTGATAAGGTCAAAACTTGTAAAGCAGTGACATAACCAACACTCCCCTATGTCAGTGTCAGGGGTGGCAGGCAGAGCCGGGTGCGAGGCATCTTACTTAATGGAGATAATAAGTGGAACCAACACAATCCCTCAACATATACCAAATGGTCCAAGGAAAGGCCTTTGGTTTTTGTTTGGTTTCTGGTTTTGTGTCTTAGAGGTTTGGAACACAAATAATCCCATATCCAAGATACCAAATACTTATATATTTGTGTTTTATTTTTTTAATTTTTGACCAGGGGAGGTAGGGTTATCTGGGATTTTGTTTTACCTTTAATTGCCCTTGGCCCCACCATCTTTTTTCTCTCTGAGTCATTGGTCTTGCTTTCAGTCAACACTGCTTTTCTTGGGTCTTCAAAGATCTTGGAACAACCTGAAAAAAATTTTCAATAGATTAAACCTTGGGGTTTTTTCCCCAAAAAATTAACACCAAGGATCCACAGTAGGTTTAGTGACAAAACCTATTCCTTCAACACTATTCTAAAATATCCTAAAATGAGAATGAACTTAAAATCCTCCCCTTAAGAATAGGGGTGAGGTGGGGAGATGGGGGTGGCAATATTCTTCCAGGGAAGCTAAGTGTCTTGAAGCAAAAATGAGGAGAGAAACAAAGGCCAAGCCTGAGCTGGCAATAGCGAAGCAGACATACACTTTTGCAAAGAAAATATTTTGAAAATGTTTTCCTTTCCTTCCAGACCCCAGCCTTAGCAATGACGGCTTCCCCAGATCATTCCTTCAGCACTTTTGTCTGCTCACAACAAAGAGTTACAGGGTTTATTAAACACCCTGAGAACGGTAATTAAACAGTTGTTTTAGTTCCAGAAAAGAAACACCCTTTTCATTTGTAGATGCTGAGGAGGACCCATATTTTTAAAAACGTTAGAACACGAATAAACTGAAATAAAATAGAGAGGGGGCAAAGAAAAAAAAAAAAGTCTTCCTTAGAATATGTTTGTCACCACAGCTCTAAAATCTGATCTCTTTTTTTGGAGATAACGGGAATTTCTGTTCTGATGCAACTTTCCAAGTAAAGTATCCAATCCCAAAATATTACATTTAACAGAATCCTCACAAAATGACAAATTGCAAATGGCAACTGTTTCGGTTGAAAATATTTTCAAACTAGAAAACGTCTTAAGTATTGCATCAAAATCAATGTTTGCCACAGGCAGTAGTATTTCTAAATGTTTCCGCAGTCCCGCTGACCCTCCCACTCCGCTCAGGACGCCAGCCAAATCCGTCCAAGTCTTTGGGCCTGTGATTTGGGATAGTTCATCCAGTGGCCCAACATCCCCACAAAGTGTTTTGATATGTTTTGTTATGATATGGAAAATATAAACTCTTGGGAAAATATTAAGATCCAAAACCACATATATAATACGATGTCGATATTGTTTAAAAAAAAAAAAAAAGCTAGATGGCTGAAAGACAACAAGGATGGTAGAAAGAGAAGGGGGAAGCTCTCGGGAAGCGCGTGAAATCACTGAAAGAAGCAGACTTTGAGTTTCCAATGTGAATTCCAAGGGACTCTTACTTTTCTCTATTATTTTCTTCTGGGTATTTTCCTAATTTTCAGAATGAAGAAAATTCATCTTGGTCCTCGGAAGAAAACTCAGCAATGATGGTTTTCTATCCCTGGACATATTTCAAAGCATTTCCCGGACAGCAATGTGTGATTTCTGCACCCCCCAGCCTTATGGAGCAGTGCTTGCCTCCTTTATTCAGGGACGGGATTGTTGGCAGGTAACAGCGAATTAGATCATGCTTCTCCTGGCTTCACAGACTTTGAGTTAATAAAGGTACTCCCAAATTTCCTTTTCTCAAAATCCAAAAAGTAATATTGATTATTACTTGGTTAAATGCTTTCCATGGGCACGTGGTTAAAATCGTATTTAGTTTCCAGTTGCTGAAAAGGGTATGAGTTTTAAAAGCATGGGCTAAGATTTACTATCCTATGTCATCCTGGAATATACTGGAGTGCCAAAATCTCTACATGCTGAAAGAATAACTTGATTTATGGCCGAATATTGCTGGACCTGATTTAAAGACAAGAGTCAAGCCCAGAGAAGATTCTATTAAATATGTGCAATGGGTATTTTTAAATTAGCATTGTGGCGTTATTAATATTTCATTTATCCAGAGGGCACTTATCTGACAACATAAATCATCCGTAACACAGCTGAGAAGCCACAAAGGATCCAAAAAAGTGTCACGAAGTCCAGGGAGTGCAGCTTTGCCAAGGAACGGCCGCTACCAGCCGCGTGAGGTAACAGCTGGCCTGATCAAAGCAAGAAAGTCAGAAAATTATGCAAACCAGACTTTAAGAACTCAAAAAATACAGGCATTTGAGAACTCCGGTTTGGGAGCATACTGCTTATCCCTGCCCAAGAGCCCGTGGTCCTGCCGAAAAGGAGAGATCAAAGAGCCACATGAGCCACGTAAGGACCCGCCCTCCCCCAAAGCCTACCATGGTCAAGGACCCCAGTTCATGCCACCCTCAGATTCAGTGAGGCTCTGTGTCCTTCCCAGTCAGAGGAAAGAGACTGTCTGTGGCGGTTAGAAAGCGGCCACTGGCACTTCTGGGCAAAGCCAAACTTGGCTGAACACCCAAATGGCAAGCTTCATTTGCCAAAGCAGCCCTTGGGCGGCAGAAAGGCCCCTGGGCTGGGGGCTCCCGGCTAGTGCTGAGCCAGCAGCCTCAGTTTGCTCACCCGCAAGCCGTGCGTAAGAGGAGGCGGCGGAAGGCAGTGCGTAAGGCCATGCCAGGTGGACAGATGCTATGTTCTGAGCAGTGTGACCTCCTTGTTTCCCAAAAGCACTGGACAAGGAGCCACTCCCCACACATAGCTTTTGTTGGCCACCTTGTGTTTGCAACAGTACGTGCTTCATAGAGGAGGTGGGTTCCTGGGAAGAGGCACCGCTCAAAGCCCAGAAGAGCTGCCTCCATGACCAGAAAGAGCCTGGATAATGGGTGGACAGCAACCTTGCATGAGAAGAAATGGATGGACAGATGCCAGGGACAGAAGGGCTGCAGTCATCTCCGTGGTCCTGGTGAGCACGGCCATGGAGGAGACAGTTTGTTCATTCATAACCCGCACACTTGGGGCCCTTTTTCCTCTACAGAAGGAACCCCAACTTCATTTGGGTGTACAGCCCCTATTCCATCATGCCCATTTTGAGGATAAACTCTGCCACTGCGGACTCCTTCCTCTTGCCACTGGCTGGCTGGTTTAGGGACGGGCAATTTGACATGGGGAAACGAGCTCAAGGACTTGTGGGAAAAGTCTCTTGGTTGCCGGTAAAAGGTCATAGGATATTGGTCTCTCTGTGTGAGCAGCTTAGAGCTGGGACAGCCGTCTCAGGTCCACAAAGGGAGGTAGGCTGAGGACTAAACTGATACACTGTGGATGTCTAGGAGTCAATGAAGGAGATCTTCTGGGTTTCTACCATGGGGTGAGGAAAAGTGCAATTACCCAACCCTGGAGGCAGAAAACTACAATACCTATGAATCAAAGAGTCACTTTCAGCTCACTTACCGTCTGCATCCAACTCAAACAGGCAGACTGAATATGCTCCACAGCTCTAACCTTAAAATAAAATGATCCAGGGCGCTGGTGGGGGGCGGGGCTCAGTGGGTTAAGCCTCTGCCTTCAGCTCAGGTCATGATCGCAGGGTCCTGGGATGGAGCCCCGCATCGGGCTCTCTGCTCAGCAGGGAGCCTGCTTCCCCCTCTCTCTCTGCCTGCCTCTCTGCCTGCTTGTGATCTCTGTCTGTCAAATTAATAAATAAAATCTTTAAAAAAATAAATAAAATCTTTAAGAAACAAAGCAAGAAAAATATTTGAAAATAATAATAAATAAAATAAAATGATCACTGGAGATTAGCACAACCCATAAATCTTTCTATGTAAACACTATTTGTAAGGCTTAGAGAATAAATAACGATTATCAAGATGAGTGACCTACCACAATCTGTACATGTATTGAGTGTCGAGCACTGGAGAGGGGGTGGGACATGCCCTCAAACAGAGCGTTTGATGGAGGGACAATACTTTTAGTTAAATGACTGATTGGATGCAGAATGGGGGGAGAGTCCTCAGTGAGGTGCAAAAGGGAGGCAATGCTATCTGGTGCCATGGAATAGCAATGTCTTTCTGAGGGAGTTAGTATGGGATGGGTGCTTAGCATTCAATAGGTAGGAATGCGGCAAAGAGCAGGCAAGGTGGAGGAGATAGGTGAGCAAAGGTATGAAGGTGAACAGGGGTAGTAGGAAGAGTGTCTTTTCATCTCTATGTCCACTTAAGGCACAGAGTGTGAGCTCAGAAATGTCTGACTTGTCTCTATAACTCAGAAGTTCCACGGGTATTTGTCTCCCTCTGTGATCTAAACTCAATCTGCCCTTCAAACCCATGCGTTCATTCAATTGTGCATCCGTCATTCATCCGCCTGCCTAGCATGCCACGGACCAAGCCCCCGGCATGTATCATCTGCTGAGCTCGGCAACAACTAGGGCTGGGCTCTGCCCCTGAGTTCAGAGTCCAGAGGGAGAAATGGAGCTGGAAGAGAACAATGATACATATCAAGGGTCCAACTGCCTTGTTTGACCCCCGCCGCTACAGAATATGATTGCGGGGGGACACTGACCCATTTGGGACACTGAAGGAGAAAACGAAACAGCCAAGAACACAGGAGGGAGCAACAAGAGAATTAGAAATCTAGAAACGACCCATGGCATGGAATCCAAAGAAGGATATCCAGTAAGACAGGAATAGTTCGCAGCATCTGATCTGCAGAGGGATGAATAAGCATGAAAAGCTCATTCAGCCAACCACACGCATTGAGATCAGGCATGGGATCCTGCAAGTCAGAAACTCTTGGGGACCTCGAACAGTGCTGCAGCTGAATGGTCAAGAAAACCCATCTCCAAAGGATGGCTGAGAGGGTGCGTGGAAGTCAAGGCAGGCTATTTTTTTTTTTTTTTGAAAGAGAGAAAGAGAGAGAGAGCATGAGCAGAAGAACAGAGAATCCCAAGCTGACTCAGCACTGAGCAGAGCCCAATGTGGGGCTCAATTCCAAGACCCTGAGATCATGACCTGAGCCAAAATCAAGAGCCGTACACTTAACTGACTGAGCCAACCAGGTACCCCCAATGCTGCTGAGCCGCCGAGAGAGAGAAAGGGAGGGAAGTTTGAAGAAAAAGCACTGGTGCACTCACCCACTCAACACTTGTGGACCTACTGTGCTTCCGAAAGTGCTAGCAGTTAGGGATGCAACAGGGCACAAGTATTGCCCTCAAGAAATCTACAATCCACTTTGCTTGCTGTTCTCGTCTGCTGATGATAGCAAAGATGGTATTTGGTGAGCAATGAAGGTATGT